AAGCTAGCACAAACTAGCCGCCGGTCTCTGGCACAGCCTGTCCAAAAGAAAAAATGCCCACTCCAAGTTTGGGGGTGAAAGCCACCTCAAGGTTCACCATTGTTTTGGAACTAGCTTTATCTGCTTTTGCCCTGCTGTGATTATTTGTTCTTGAGCCATATTCAACAACAATTTAAGTTTATACATTGGTTGAAAAAAGATCTCCCCCTGCTATCTACCTATCGCATTAGTAGTGTGAGAAACATCTGATATGTTAAGCAGACTATAGCTATGCATATCTAGGTCACATCAAAACTGAAAAATGTGATGATTTTTAACATACTTAAACATTAACATTTCCAAAATTTACTAAAGAACGCCTTGTTACATAATATTTTGAAAACAAGTGCCTTTATTCAGGCTTAATAAAAATTCTGACTAACCTTCATTCACTGCAGGTTATGACCTGAATGCATACTTTAGGGGCTGGTAATTGATGGTGACTTGGATATCCTGGCATTAAAAGTGGGGTGAGGCTATCAGTAAGTGTTGATTTTAGCTGGAATGTCACAGTCCTATGATGAACTGTATTCTTTGTGTATTTGTGCATCTTGGGTCACTAAGGACAACTCAACCCGTGTAAATGTTTGATGCACAAATGGAATGGTCAAATCAAACATAGAACAACCTGGAATCTCCTTTTGACCGACAGTGAGACAACATTGGATCAATTGTGGTGTACCCAACTCTGGCCAAAATAATTAAAACCACTGATTTGAGAAAAAAAAATTGAGTTGCAGAAAAAAAAATGTTTTATGTAAATAGTGTATGCTGCTTTCTCACCCTTCACATATTTCCAGTGTAATACTTTTATTTCTGTTAAGCAGGACAGAAGGTAACTTATTAGTTTATTAGCTTGGCCAAACCGCGATCCAATGCAAGCTAGCTAGACCTTTTAGCCTCTTTGCTACAAATGCTAAGATATATAGGGGATTACAGACTGTAGTCCTTGACCATTAGATCTGAAATGAGGTTAACAGGCCTATATGTTTAAAAAAGCTTGAGCTTGTTTTTATCTTTATATCAAACTGCACAATCGAGTATGTGATTTTCTCTATGCACAAAATTTGCTGTAATTAAACTAATGGAATTCCAGAACAAGGGTGAAATGTCATTAAGTAACCATAAATACAGCAATATATCTTCAGTCTCTTCTGAATATCCTAAAAATTAAAATGACCATATAAAAATTATCGAGTTGTATGAAAATTAGAGTTCAATCTTATGTAACTTCACCGTTGAGCTTGCGGGTTACACCCTAGTTAATTGCCAATTTTGTGCCTAATTTCCCTTCTCTACAGTTCTAAATAATTTGTGATGGTTGTAAAGATTATTATTCCAGAATTGTCTCAAGTATGAGGTGTGTTGATCTCTATCCGATCTACTGGGCACGATATTGGGGCCACAACTATCACAAATTCTAGCTATTAAACATGCCGAGTATATCAGATATCTTGTTGTATGGGGTGAACCCAAATGACAGCTGAGTCTGTGGATTGTCACGCAAACAATACAAAAGTCAACTGAGTAGCAAGCTGACTGGAAAAGAAATAACAATAATCACAGCAAATCATTATAGTAAATTTATACTCATCTCCAGGTTATGAAAACGTGCACAACCTCCCAAGATTTGTCCATAATTTTAGTTTTTTCTTGGTCAATTTTCAGTGAAAAGTAGTCCTAAAACTATCATCGCAATTCTTACCCGTCAATCTCCACATTAGTTTACTCTAAAGTAGAGTTTGACCGCAAGACATTTTGCAAGATTCCCAACTTTCAGATTTTGGACTCTGTTAGTGTGTGTGTGCCATATCACTGCTCTCCACACACTTTAGATACAAAACTGTTTAATCTATAATTATTTTTTGGGTCTCCCAAATTTTCCACATATATGTTTTTGTTTGAAGGATGTTAAAAACCTTTTTGTGTGGGTAGGCTTCAGTCAGCTAACTTGCTGCAAATGAGTGGCTTGTTGGAGCTTACTTGGAGAAGTTGTGTTATTTACCTTTTTTAACCCGACCACCACAGATTTCAGGAAAAAGGTTTTATTTTACAGTACATGTTGTCTGTGTATTTGTGTATTGGGGCAGCTCAGGAAAAGTCAACACATCTGTGATGTTTAATGTGAAAACTAAAGTGTCCTTGTGAATCCTACAAACACAGGACACCCTAGAACCTCCTGTTTAACTGTAGGGAGACAAGGTTGAAGTCAAATATTGTCTGCCCAACTCCAAGGAAAATAAATAACAATATTTTTTTTAAATTCCTATAATATATAGATTCAAAAAGCCAGGGCACTTGGAATTCTGCCATAAGCAGCTTCTATAAAGACTGAGTGGCTCTGTGAGGATCAGTCATTCAGCTTTGTCAGAGCTTCCTGCTTGTTGTTTTTCTTCAAGTTATACACTGAAGCTAGCCACTTGTAGAATCATGAATCTGTGGTTCAGTAGTCTTTTCCTTGTGGTTGGGTTGTTCCTGAGCTGCTCCGCTCAAACCGTTGAGGAGTGCAGACCTCTGATTACACCTCTTCCCACTTTTGAACCGGTAAGCCTCCTCTGCATCTCTTCTGGGTCTTTATGATAGCATTAAGTGATTTTAAGCAGCTTTTTAGAAAGCTTGTTACAGTTCTCTCCTCCCTTTCTATAGGATTAGCATTCAATTTGAACTACAGTTAATGACAGACAAATGGGACACATTTTTGATAAGACAAGAAGCTTAACAATGTCACTCAATTACAAAATATATGAACCCATTTCCAAAAGGACAAGAAAATGATTGAGATAAAAAACCTGGGGCTCAGAGATACTTTCTCCTTAAGATTATGATTTTTAGATGGATACAGAATCGTTTCTCTTTCTCAGTCATTATTAAGCTGTTAAATTAAAGTGATGAGTGTCTAAAATTGAATCTCATTCAGATCTTCTTTCCGTCTGATTCCAATCGATATGTTGAACTACACTTTATATCTCAGTTAATTTGTTAAATTTGTTTGGAACTTTCATAACTTTTTCATAGTGTGTCTGGTCAGGGATGGATTTCTTTTAACTTTATTTGTACTTTTGCGTTTACGTTACTTAAGTTGAAATAACTATATAAACTACTTGCTCTGTAAAATACCCAGCAAAATCTTTAGAAGAGTGTCCTGATTTAAAATAATTTGTTTAGAATAAAAAAAACAATGATCAAAGAATCATCTGAAAACTTTCTTGACTCAGAGTTTGATACTCAGTGTTTCGTGTGATAAAGGTTAGAGAAAAATGCAAATTACGTTCAGCATTCAGCTCTGTTGAAATGAATAACTGATATTTTTGTATGCATAATTGACATCATGTTTTGTCTGCAGTTACGGAAGGTGGGTCTTCATCATGGGTTGGATTACTAGTGAACCACGCAGAGAGTTGTTCAAGACAACCAAGAGCCAGTGGATTGACTTCATTAAGACATCACCAAATGACACAGAATTTGTTCAGGATATTGGGATCAGACAGTGAGTAAACAGCAGTTCACCATCAGCTGTACAACTATGTTATATAATACTTTAAATATGCTTCATCATAGAAACAAATTTGCCTTAAATACATCAAGCAAAATATGCTTACATTTAATTGTGTATATTCAACTCCCTACTGACTAATCATTCTATCCAGATATACTTCTACGCAGATGACACCCATTTAAACCTCTGAAACAGTAATGTATTACAACACAAAAGCTGAGGTACATCCTCACTGTACATTAGTTTACCTTTAGGTCAGTTACTACTAACATGGATGTCTCAATCCAAACATTCCATGCATGCTTCTAAAAGTCATTGTATATTTTGTTAACAATAGGTCAAATAAGACCAGTTTCCTTTCATATGAAGTCTAAAGATGATGTCCTAGATGTCAAACATACCTTAACACAAATAGCCTATAATAACCATCCGCAATTATTTATTTATTTATGTTGATTTGTTGTTGGCCAAAAACAACCTGATGTTGTCTCACATGCTTTCTTGTCACAAGGCTGAGGTTCAAGCTAACAGGCCACAGGTTTGGCATAACTATGATGAGAGGAATGTGAAATATTGAAACATTTTTCATAAAAATATTTGAATAAACACTATACATTAAGAATACACCATAGAAAGATCATAGATTGTACATTCTTAATTTAAGATAGACTGACTCACTATTGTTAAATCAGGATTTCAATAAAATGTCTGAACTCCTTCTATCTCCTTTCTTTTTTCCCAGTCCTACACATTGCAAATACGGATCACACCCTGTAACTATTCATTCGAACTTGGCACTAACCGACAGTAAGCCTGCTGATCTTCTATGTCACTGGTGCTTGTAAATGTTAGTCCTGTTAGTCAGTGTATGAGTTTGTCCAATCAAAAATGTCAAACACATCTTCCAACTGTTTGTCTCCTAAAAAGGTTTAGGTTTGAGGACTTGTTGCTGCTAGTTGTAGGGGTGCTAATTTATAAAACTCTGCCTTTGGCTGTATGAGAGTTTAGGAACAAAGATGAATGAAGAAGTTTAGCCAAACAAAAACAAACACGATTAATCTGTAAAACAACTTTCTGCAACTCTTATTTACCTTATAGGTGAATTGATTGCCAATGTCAATCTCTAAGATCAGAGAAATAAGTTATGATGTTCTTTACCCACTTACATTCATGTACATACCCTCACACATATAATTAAACACATGATGATACAGGATGCAACTATCTTACAATAAAACATTGTTAACCATGGAGCATGTTACAAAACTGATCATAGCATTTAGATAATTACTATCAGCCCAACAGAGCTCCTAGCATGACCGTAGACTCTGAAACCATCGTAAACATTACTTTTCTGCAGTTCAGGTAAATGTAACTGCCTTCAATTCAGTCTAGGAGCAAGCCAAACAATGACTGCTTTGGATTTAATAGTTTTTATTTTTATTTTTATTTTTTTTCCTGTTAGAGTCCAACTTCACCTGCACATACCATTCCCTGCCAACCTGTGAGGGATGTCTGCTCTACACCGTGGACAGCAGAACCAACAATAATTTAATCCACATTATGAACATTGATGAGCCAAAAACCATTGCAGAGGTTGAAAGCTATCGGGCATTTTACTTCATGGGTAGGACAAATGTAATGGATATAAGATTGTGCACTAAGTTAAATTAATAATACATGTTAAAACTAGTGTCTTTCTAAAATGTTGTATATCCTTTAAAAATGCTAAAAAGCTAGTTATAATTTAATGTTAATTCATGCTGCTAAGGTTAAGTTTAAAAGCATATCGGTAATTGATTGGTTTGGTCTGAAGCTTTTGTTATTGTTTTACACTTCCGGTTTCACGCCAGCAGGGGGAGCGTGTTGTCTGAGCGTCATTCATTACACCATTGAATGAAAGCCAGCAACAACGTGTTTCTTCTTTATTTCTCCCCTTACAGGTAAGAATACTGGTTAAAAGTGAATAAAACCAAGTATAAATGTGTTGTAAGTTTCCAGGAACAAGCTAGTGATATGTTTTCTGTATACAAAGTAATTTCAGTATGTTTATGAAGCAGTTTAAGCATGAATGTGTTTGCCGTGATGCGTGCATGCTAGCTTGAATCACACAGACAGAGCGCAATAGAGACACGTGTAGTGCGTCTACTGAGAGTGTGTTATTTAAGTTGTATCGGCCAGTTGAACAATTACAGTTACATGGTACAGTTTAAAGAAATATCACTCTGCAAGTGTGTATGTGTATAACTACTAAAGCAACTAAGAAAGAGTTAAATGTGTTTACATAAAACAAGCAGTAGATTATACAATATTGAGAAATACTAGCCTGTTATATGACAGATGTAAAGGTATTAAACAGTGCATGTATGTTCATCTAAGTGTATAATATTGTACAATGATAATATGATGTGTTATTGCATATTATTCATTACACCATTGAATGAAAGCCAGCAACAACGTGTTTGTTTCTTTCTTCTTTATTTCTCCCCTTACAGTACGCTGTACAGGGGTGTAACACAAACAGTAAAGAAAATATCTTCTTTGAAATATGAAACATTTCTTCACGTTAACTTTTTTTTGATTGCTGTTACCAGCTAAAAAAAATCATGTCAAGCACCATGAACTGGCACATGCCATGAAGCAGGCGAGGTGTCTTGGTTTCACAGGAGAACCAGACTTCATCTATGACCCCAGGGATAGTGAGTAACCTTCAAACCTGTATAATTAAATAATGAAATAGAGATGTGTGATTTCAGATGGAACTAAATTGTTTTTTTGTCTTTCTCTTTACAGCATTGTGTGAAAAGGGAAAAGAAAAATGAAGACAACTGGAGTCAAATCTTCAATATTAAATTGAAATTGTCAAAATAAATAAACAAAAAAGTGTCTTAAAACATGAAAGGTGTGGCTTTTGTTTTTTCCCATTCTAATAAGTATAAGCAAAAGGACGTTTGTTATTGTCCAGCAGAGAAGCACAAGTAATAGAGCTGATTTAGATTTTGAAAATATATATTGAGTCATATTTCATGGATCTTGGGTGTAAAATTTAAAGGACAAGACTCAGCCACATGCTGGCCTTTCCAGTCCTGTTTACCTCTTAAATGGCAGAAATACTGGTCACAAAGTAAGGCCCAAGGCAATTTAATTATGCACTTTAGCAAAACTCACATTATTATTATTATTAATAATAAAAATAATAATAATACATTTTATATATAAAGCATTTGTTAAGTAAATGGCAAGAATACTGAGCACAAAGTAAGGCCCAAGTAAACAAATACACTATACATTTGTTTAAAATAGAAAGGTCAAAACAAAACAGAAGGAACAAACTGACAAACAACAAAAACATTTCACAAAGGTCAGCTAAACAACATTTAACCAGACATAAAAATTAATACAGCACAATTAGCTTGCTAAAGAAGGTGAGTCTTAAGTGATTTGAATATGGATGGGTCTGTGCAGTCTTGTGGTGAGTGAGTCCGAGAGGTAGTGGGGGCTATGGGAAAGACACTGTACCCTTTGGGTCTGTGAGTCGGAGACAAGAGGTTGGATATGAACTGTTAAATCAGTTTCTCAACCTTGCTTTAGTGGATTCGTTGTAGATGTAAAGTTCTGAAGGACATTTTTTTTTTTTTTAAGTGGAAATAGGGATAAGGAGTTGTGGCCAAAAGACTGTCCGTGCCTTTCGTGGTGGCAACCTTAGAACCAGCCTTGGATACCAGCGGCTAATTAAGCCTTTTTGCTTGATGAACGTATGGACGTTTTTTGCTCATCCAATATAAATTTTTTTTACATAGTGTCCCTCTGGAGTGTTGTGGGGGATACTGCAGGATTTTGTGGTCCCAGGGCAGTTGGAACAAGCTATCTGGTCACTTTAGGACCAAAGTGAGAGCTGTGTCCGCATCCTCGGCACAAAGTCAGACATGTTCCCTGTGTGGGTTGGCAGTTTTCATGGACAGAATATCAAGGCACAGCCAGTGGGAGACGGTCTTCCAGTTTATGGGCCTAAAAATCACATCCCTGATTTTTGCAGATAATGTTATTAAAAACAATACATTGTTCCATTATAATTGATAGCAAACACAGTTCCAATCATGGATATAATTGAGCTGCTATCACTTTTTTTTTTTTTAAGGGTATATTAACTATTGACTGTACATCTAAAGCCAAGGTTTGTGGAAGTCTTTCTATTAACGGCTGACACGATATAAATGAGCCTCACACAGGGCACCATTAAATGTATAACATATGATCAGTTTTGGAGTTCACCATTACTTGCCTTGTATTAACAACTGGGGCACCAGTCAGTATACCTTAATGACAACGATACAAGAAGTACAGATACATTGAATAATGGATACAGGAAAAGTAAGGTTGATATGATTATGGCTATCGTGACAGGCTATTTGACAGTAAAATTAACAGATTTAACACTGAGAAATGTAATTATTTTGTTTAAATATTAAAGATGGAATTTGGATCAATTTTGAATTCAGGAGCTATAATCAACTCTTTTTCCCACCCGTAGTTGGTGTTGTTTTATTGGCAAGATGTGGTTCGGATTGGAATTGGAAACTTTCTCCATGGGTGGTAGCCCTGCTGTTCAGGTGAGAGGCATGTTGGGTGGAGCCTTGCAAATCCTGGTAGTGGTATCTGGGTGTCCCCATATGTTCACCGTGATGAACTGGCAGGAAGTCAGACGTCAGATATTATTAGCATTTGGCAAAGCAAGGGTTATACTTGCTTTTGCAGATTAGGCTGGCAGGAAATTTGAGGCTTTGATAGATTTCAGATCTTGCAAAAATCAACCATTGGCCAATCGAAGTTAATTAAAACAGTCATTTTCAAATAAAAATAGGCAGATTATAACCAATAGTTTAACCTGTTAAAAATTCAGTACTCATGTAAAAAAGGACAAATGAAATGTGTTTGTTCAGATGGAAAATGGGATATTGAGCAAGCTAGCACAAGCTAACCACCAATCTTTCATGCAGCTTGTCCAAAAGTAAAAAGGGAAAATTCATGTCTGTGGGTGAAAGCCACCCCAGGGTTCACTCTTGTTTTGTAATTAGCTTCATCTGCTTTTGACTTGCCGGATTAGTCCTTCTTTTGTCCAAATAGAACGGCAATTTCAGGTCATACAATGATTGAAAAAAGAACTCCCCCTGCTATCTACCCATCGCATAAGTAGTGGGAGAAACACCTGATACATTAAGTAGAGAATAGTTTGACATATCTAGGCACATCAAGACAGAAAATGTAGGGATTCTTACAAGTCTTAAACATTCACATTTCTAAAATAAATCAAAGAACATCTGGTTAATTAATATTTTTAAATTCCTAAACATTTCTAAAAAGAACCTTCATTCACGCTTAATAAATATTCGGACTAACATATATTCATTGTAGGTTATGACTTGGATGCAGAATTTAGGGGCTGGTAATCGATGGTGAGTTGGATATCACATCAGTCAGAGGTTGGTTTAAGATGAAATGAGACAGTCCTGTGATGAAGTGTATTCTCTGTGTATTTGTGCCCCTTTGGTCGTAATTCAATTAATCTGTAAATGTTTGATGCACAAATTGAACAGTGAAATCCTACAAACACAAGACAACCTGTAATCTCCTTTTGACCCATAGTGAGACAATATTGGATTGAATGTTGCAAACCCAACTCTGGCCAAAATAATTAAAACCATTGATTGAGGGAAAAAACGTTTGAGTAAATAGCCATGAAATCTAGAACACGTGTTGTTTTTTTATATAACCTTAATTGAACCAGGTTGGTCCCATTGAGATTAAGAACTTATTTTACAATGGAGACCTGGCCAAGCCAATCAGCAGGAAAAACATAAAGACGGAAACACAAAGGGAGACAAAATACATTTTTAAAACATTACATTTAAAAAATAAAAAATAAAACTAGTTCTAGCAGTTGAGTTAAAATCAAGTCATTCAAGTCATTCTGCAACAGATTCCAGGCTGAGGGTGCAGAATACCCAAAAGCCCTTTCCAAATTTCTGTCCGAGCGTTTGGGACAGAGAACATAAAGGGCCTGAGACCCCAAAGAATAATGTCTGGTACTTTTCTGTCTGGAGTGTTGTAGGGGATACTGCAGGATTTTGTGTTCCCGGGGCAGTTGGAACGAGCTATCTGGTCACTTTAGGACCAAAGTGAGAGCTGTGTCCGCATCCTCGGCACAAAGTCAGACATGTTCCCTGTGTGGGTTGGCCTTCGCCAGGGTTGCCCCTTGTCACAAATTCTCTTAACAATTTTCATGGACAGAATATCAAGGCACAGCCGGTGGCAGACGGTCTTCCAGTTTATGGGCCTCAAAATCACATCCCTGCTTTTTGCAGATAATGTATTATTAAAAACAATACATTGTTCTATTATAATTAATTGCAAACACAGCTACAATCACAGAACTAATTGAGCTGCTATCACTTTTTTTTTTTTTTTAAGGGCATATTAACTATTGACTGTACATCTAAAGCCAAGATTTGTGGAAGTCTTTCTATTAACGGCTGACACGATATAAATGAGCCTCACACAGGTCACCATTAAATGTATTATAACATATGATCAGTTTTGGAGTTGACCATTACTTTCCTTGTATTAACAATTGGGGCACCAGTCAGTATACCTTAAGGACAACTATACAATAAGTACAGATACATTGAATAATGGATACAGGAAAAGTAAGGTTGATATGATTATGGCTATCGTGAGAGAAATTAACAGATTTAACACTAAGAAATGTAATTATTTTGTTTAAATATTAAAGATGGAGTTTGGATCAATTTTGAATTCAGGAGCTATAATCAACTCTTTTTCCCACCCGTAGTTGGTGTTGTTTTACTGGCAAGATGTTGTTCGGATTGGAATTGGAAACTTTCTCCATGGGTGGTGGCCCTGCTGTTCAGGTGAGAGGCATGTTGGGTCGAGCCTTGCAAATCCTGGTAGCGGTATCTGGTTGTTCCTATATGTTCACCGTGATGAACTGGCAGAAAGTCAGATGTCAGATGTTATTAGCAGTTTGCAGCAAATTTGAGGCTTTGATAGATTTCAGATCTTGCAAAAATCAACCATTGGCCAATCAAAGTTAATTAAAACAGTAATTTTCAAATAAAAATAGGCAGATTATAACCAATAGTTTAACCTGTTGAAAACTCAGTACTCATGTAAAAAAGGACAAATGAAATGTGTTGTTCAGATGGAAAATGGGATATTGAGCAAGCTAGCACAAGCTAACCACCAATCTTTCGTGCAGCTTGTCCAAAAGTAAAAAGGGAAAATTCATGTCTGTGGGTGAAAGCCACCCCAGGGTTCACTCTTGTTTTGTAATTAGCTTCATCTGCTTTTGACTTGCCGGATTAGTCCTTCTTTTGTCCAAATAGAACGGCAATTTCAGGTCATACAATGATTGAAAAAAGAACTCCCCCTGCTATCTACCCATCGCATAAGTAGTGGGAGAAACACCTGATACATTAAGTAGAGAATAGTTTGACATATCTAGGCACATCAAGACAGAAAATGTAGGGATTCTTACAAGACTTAAACATTCACATTTCTAAAATAAATCAAAGAACATCTGGTTAATTAATATTTTTAAATTCCTAAACATTTCTAAAAAGAACCTTCATTCAATTAATAAATATTCGGACTAACCTATATTCATTGTAGGTTATGACTTGAATGCAGAATTTAGGGGCTGGTAATCGATGGTGAGTTGGATATCACATCAGTCAGAGGTTGGTTTAAGCTGAAATGAGACAGTCCTGTGATGAAGTGTATTCTCTGTGTATTTGTGCCCCTTTGGTCGTAATTCAATTAATCTGTAAATGTTTGATGCACAAATTGAACAGTGAAATCCTACAAACACAAGACAACCTGTAATCTCCTTTTGACCCATAGTGAGACAATATTGGATTGAATGTTGCAAACCCAACTCTGGCCAAAATAATTAAAACCATTGATTGAGGGGAAAAAAACGTTTGAGTAAATAGCCATGAAATCTAGAACACGTGTTGTTTTTTTATATAACCTTAATTGAACCAGGTTGGTCCCATTGAGATTAAGAACTTATTTTACAATGGAGACCTGGCCAAGCCAATCAGCAGGAAAAACATAAAGACGGAAACACAAAGGGAGAAAAAATACATTTTTAAAACACTACATTTAAAAAATAAAAAATAAAACTAGTTCTAGCAGTTGAGTTAAAATCAAGTCATTCAAGTCATTCTGCAACAGATTCCAGGCTGAGGGTGCAGAATACCCAAAGGCCCTTTCTAAATTTCTGTCCGAGCGTTTGGGACAGAGAACATAAAGGGCCTGAGACCCCAAAGAATAATGTCTGGTACTTTTCTGCATGATAAAAACACATGGATAGTGTGGGAGCAGATCAAGAATAACCTCATAAATAAAGATGTACGGGTGTAACTACAGTTTGCCAGTGCAGGCCACCGTACCCAAGAGTACAATTCACAATGCTGAGTCAGAGCTTTACAATTTTTAAGGTACCTCAAGGACGCACAACTGTATCAACCGTATGGAGACACTGAGCAGAGGTGTGCATCTTCAAAAGATCACCATAGACTAAAACAGTTTTAAAAAAGTTGCAGCAACAAGGAATTTTTTTACATTTAAAGAAAGACATGGTTCTAAATAAATAAAGTTTAAATATGTAACTTTATAACAAGGAATAGCACATGTGGGTTCAAATTAAGGGAATCATTAATAGAAATACTCAGTATCAGGTACAAAGAGTTTACAACCTCAATTTTCTTTCCATCAACAGCAACCACACGGGTACAATTTTGTGACCTGGTCTTTGAGTTGGAAAAGAGCATAAGCTTGGTCTTATTGGCAAGTTTAAATGTTAGCTTCAGTTGTGGTGATCCTGTTACAGTTTTTTCCTGCATAAAACATTTTCTTTTTAAAAAGAAAAAAAATAACTTGTGCTGGTAGGGCAGAAGGTAACGTTTTTGTTTGTTAGCTTGGTCTAACCGCGATCAAATTCAAGCTAGCGAGACCTTTTAGACTCTTTGCTATAAAGGTAACACTTTTAGGGGATAACGGACTGTAGGCTTCGATCATTAGACCTTATAAAAGGTCTTTATATTTACAAAAAAAAATCATATACTTGCTTTTATTTTCATATGAATCTGTACAACCATGTATGTGATTATCTATATATACAAAATTAGCTGTAGTAAAACTGAAGGAAAGCCAGATAAAGGTTTAGAAGTTATGATGTTACCAGAATAGCTATGAGAAAAATAGAGTTCAATCTCAGTTAACGCCACCATTAAATAAGTGGGGTAAACACAACAAGTTGAGTCCCGAATTTGTAACTAATTTTCCCCCTCCCTACAATTCTTTTTTAAGGTTTTGATTACATAATTTTTCCAGATTTTCTTCAGGAAATGAGATGTGTTGAACTCCATTCGATCTTCAAGTAAAGACATTGGGGCCTCAACAATTTCAAATTGTAGATATTAATCATGCCTAGTACATCAGATATCCCGTTGTGTGGCCAAGGACAGCTGAGCATGCACTTTGTGGATTGTCATGTGAATGAAACAATAGTCAACTGTGAACCGAGCTGACTGAAGAAGGAAGAACAACAACCACAACAAATACATTTTTACTGATATCCAGCTTATTTTTGTTTCTTGGTGAATTTTCAGTAAAAAGTAGTCCAAAAACTATCATCTCCATTCTTACCTGACAACCATTTAGTTAACTCTTAAGTAGAGTGAGACCACGAGACATTTACGATATTCCCACCTATTTTGATTTTGGAATTTGGCTTTAGATACAAAACTGTTCAATCTTTCATTATTTTTTCTACTTGATTGCTGTATCCTACTTTTTATTCATGTTTTTGTTTGAAGGATGTTAAAAACATTGTGTGGGCCACACTTCAGTCAGGTAACTAGCTGCTAATGAGTGGCTTGTTGAAGCTTACTCAGAGAAGTTGTTACCTTTTTTAATCCGAACACAACAGATTTCGGGGTGAAGGTTTTATTTTATTTTAACGGTACAGTCTGTGTATTTGTGTTTTGGGGTAGCGAAGGACAAGTCAACACATATGTAATGTTTGATGTGCAAACTGAAGTGTCCTTAGGAATCCTACAAACACAGGACACCCTAGAACCTCCTGTTTAACTGTAGGGAGACAAGGTTGAAGTCAAATATTGTCTGACCAACTCCAAGGAACAAAGATAACAATTATTTATTTTAAATTCCTATAATATAACGAGTCAAAAAGGCAGGACACTTGGAACTCTGCCATAAGCAACTTCTATAAAGGCTGAGTGGCTCTGTGAGGATCAGTCATTCAGCTTTGTCAGAGCTTCCTGCTTGTTGTTTTTCTTCAAGTTGTAAACTGAAGCTAACCATTTGTAGCATCATGAATCTGTTGTTCAGCAGTCTTTTCCTGGTGGCTGGGTTGTTCCTGAGCTGCTCCACTCAGACCGTTGAGGAATGCAGACCTTTGATCACACCTCTTCCAACTTTTGAACCGGTAAGCCGCCTCTGCTTCTCTCCTGGGTCTTTAGGTTAGCATTATTATTAATGATTTTAAGCATCTTTGTGGAAACCTTGTTACAGTTTCCTCCTCCATTTTTTTTCTCTTTGTCCCTTTAATTTCCAAGCTGTTAAATTAAAGTGATGAGTGTCTAAGATTGAATCTTATTCAGATCTTGTTTCCCTCTGATTCCAATCGATGTGTTGAACTACACTTTATATCTCTCAGTTAATTTGTTGTTAATTTGTTAAAGTTAATTTTTAGGTTACACATATTGCAGAAATCCACTTTCATAACTCTTTTTAAGGTTTGAGTGAAATTAAATCACATAAGAGTCTCCAGCTCTGTTGATTTTAATCACTGATATTTTTGTATACATAGTTGACTTTATGTTTTGTCTGCAGAGTTACGGAAGGTGGGTCTTCATCATGGGCTGGATTACTAGTGAACCACATAGAGCATTGTTCAAGACAACCAAGAGCCAGTGGATTGACTTCATCAGGACAGCACCAAATGACAACGAATTCATTCAGGAGATTGGGATCAGGCAGTGAGTATCAGAAGTTCAACATCAGCTGTACAACTATGTTACATAACTTTTGCCTGAAACATATTAAGCAAAAAGTATTGTGTATATTCAACTCCCTGCTGACTAATCATTCCACCCAGAACTACTGCTATGCAGAAATTTTGTTTTAAATCTCAGAAATAGTAAATATTCTTTAATCTATGACAACAGCTGAGGTGAATGGTTCCGCATCACTATGATAAGAGGAATGTGAAATATAGAAATACTTTTGTCAACAAAATATTTGAAAATACACTATACATTAGAATTATGCAAAAGTAGAATGATTGATTTTATCATTCTTAACTTAAGATAGACTGTTTAGGACAGACTCTCTATTGTACTTAAATATTTTGTGGTGTTAGTTAATAGTATTTACCATTTATGTTTACACAAATCTTCTATATATTCCAGTCCTGAACAAGGGTTTTTCTACATGTTCTCTTCAACCTCCCAATGACATATCTGAACTGATCTTTTCTCCTTTATTTTTCCCCAGTCCTACATATTGCAAGTACGGATCATACCCTGTAACTATCCATTCCAACTTGGCACTAACCGACAGTAAGTCTGCTAATTCGCTATGATACCGGGGCCTGTAAATGTTAGTCCTGTTAGTCAGTGTATGAGTTTGTCCAGTCAAAAATACACTCGATTAATCTGTAAAACAGCCTTCTGCAACTCTTATTTACCCTCAGTTGTTTGCCAAAGTCATTATCTTAGTTCAGAGAAAGACATCATGATGTGACATTTCAATCAAGAGAGACAAGTGAATAAAGATAATTATTTATTATAATGGACAACATGGAAATCAGACTTGACAGAAGGACTTTGGCGCTTGGACTCTATGGGGGGTTGATGTGTTTGGAGGATGTCAATTATGAGCATCAACAGAAAAAATCCCCCCCATGGAGTCCAGACCCTGGTGGGGGTGAAGCTGATGACATGTTGAGAATGGGTAGGTGAACACAATGACGATAAGCTGACAAGGAGGGAGGGAGGCCATGCAATTGGTTAAATGAGTACCAGTGACAAGAGAGCTGATTACTAAATGCAGTGCATGAGAGGGATGAATGAGAGATAGACCCAATTGTGAAGGCAAATATGAAGTCTTCCTGACTGAACTTAACCTAGAGCTTCATTTAATTTGCCTGGGTAGTGCCCGGAGCGATGGTGTAACCAAATGTCACTACGTCAACTATACATGCTTTACCCACTTACATTTATGTATGTATCCTCCCACATATAACTTCCCATAAGTCATTTAATATATTACTCCAAAATGTGCATCATGTACATAAATGAAGTAAACCCAATAACTTAATCCAAACAGCAACCTTTCTTCCACATCTAACCAGGTAGTTTTGCTGCATAACCTAATCAAAGGGAAACAACTTTAAAATGTCAAACACATCCTCCAACTGTTTGTCTCCTAAAAAGGTTTAAGTTTGAGGACTTGTTGCTGCTAGTTGTAGGGGTGCTAATGTAGAAAACTCTGCCTTTGGCTGTATGAGAGTTTCAGAACAAAGATTAATGAAGACGTTGACAAGTCAGAGGACATGTTGGAAAGTCCACCAGGACAGACCCTGTTTCATATTCATCTTACCTTGTTTATATTGTCCTGTTGCCTTGATATACCTGAAGGGTTTATGTGATGTCAGATATGATGCAGTATGAAACAGCAGTGGATGAGTGGATGTGCTAAGAATGAAGCCATTAAACCTTTATTGTGTGCAAATCCTTTTTTCACACATTTTGGAACAAACCTCTGTATAGCTACAACTATGAAAAAAACATTTTTAGAGTAAATATTTTAAGCAAATTTTCAATGCCTGCCCCTAAATGGGCCCTTAAAATATTTTTTAAATAAAACGCACAAGATAAAGCACATATGATAATACAGGATGCAACTATTTTACAATAAAACATTGTTAGACAGGGAGTATGTAACCGTACTGATCATAGCATGTAGCTCATTACTCTCAGACCAACAGAGCTGCTAGCATGACTGTAGACTCAACTATCATAAACACTCCTTTTCTGCTGGTCAAGTAAACGTATCCACCTTCATTTGAGTTGAACAGCAAGTTGAACAATGTCTGCTTCAGATAAAATGCTTATGTTTTTACCCTTTAGAGTCCAGGTTCACCTGCACGTACCATTCCCTGCCAACCTGTGAGGGATGTCTGCTCTACACGGTCGACAGCAGAACCAACAATAATTTAATCCACATTATGAACATCACTGAACCCCAAACCATTGCAGAGGTTGAAAGCTATCGGGCGTTTTACCTGATGGGTAAGAAGAACAAGATAAATAATAATAACTGATTTGAAATGTGAAACATTTCTTAAGTTTAATCTATTTTACATTTCTGTTTCCAGCTAAAGAAAATCATGTCAAGCACCACGAACTGGTACATGCCATGAAGCAGGCGAGGTGTCTTGGTTTCAAAGGAGAACCAGACTTCATCTATGACCCCGAGGATAGTGAGTAACCTTCAAACTTGTCTGATTAAATAATGAAATGGACACATGTGATTTCAAACAGAACTAAATTGTTTTTTTGTCTTTCTCTTTACAGCGTTGTGTGAAAAAGGAAAAGAAAAATGAAGATAACTGAAGTCCTGTCTTTAACTTCAAATTGAAATCGTGGAAGTAAAGAAACAATTGTGACTCAAAACATTTATTGTGTGGCCTTTGCTTTGTTTTTCAATCTAATGAATACATTGAGGGTGGGGATGGGGGGTTCAGGTGAAAGGAACTGGTGAACAGCTGCGTGTTTGAAGTGACAGAAAGTATGTTATTGTGCAGCATAGATGCACAGCTAATAGAGCTGATTTAGATTTTGAAAATATATTTTGAGTCATATTTCATGGCTCTAGGGTGTAAAGTTTAAAGGACAAGGTACAGATGCATCATGGCCTGTCAAATCACTTCTACTCACTTAAAGACCAGTACGCATTGAAGCACATAGAAGAGCCCATGAATAAATGTATTCACACAAAATGTATGCTGGGCATGAAAATGACAACTGGGCTTCTGTGCACCGAGAGTAGAGTAATATGAGACTTACAGGAGCTCTCAGTAAGATGTTGTACTTGTAAGCATATTCTATAATTAATTTAGCAGACTCTTTTATCTACAGTGACTCACATCAGATAGTAAGAACAACATAAGTAATTATAGAGGAGATAACGATGTCAGTTAGTTCCAACAAACAGCTTTAAGACTGAATGGACACACAGGTGCTGAAAGGAAGTGACCAGAGGCAAACACTTTTTTGGAAAAAGTTAGAGGTTAACATTTCTTCAACAACAACATTGACAGCTGTTCTTGAGAGTTCTAATCAGCATCAAAACCATCCTAAATATCATCATCATCATCATTAAGGTCGTAAGGGTTCATAAAGAGCTGTGTCTTTAGCTTTTTCTTGAAGGTGCAAAGGGTCTCTGCAGATCAAATTGAGGTTGTTAACATTCCACTACTGGGGGCAACAGAGCAGAAGAGTCTAGTTAAAGACTTAGGGCCCTGTTGTGCAGGTTGCCAATGATAGTTTGACACCTTAGCGTAGTGGGCGAAAGGGGGTGTAGACATAGATGAGAAGGTTAGATAAGGAGGAGCCGTTTTTGTTGCTGTTTTGTAAGTGAGCTGCAGAGTTTCAAATTTGATGCAAGCAGTTACTGGGAGCCAAACGAGGAAGATCATTAAGATATATTGCTGTATGTATGGTTAGAAGTGATGGAATTTACACTAACGTGCAGGTATTCATGCCAAGTGCACTAATTTACCACCATACCATCACAGATAAAGGCTTTTCAACTGAGCACTGATAACAAACTTGCCTTTCTTAAAGTTGCTTCAGGCCTTCGGTTAGTATAGGGCTTCTCCTAATCATTATCCCATCCTTAAATGGCCTTTAAATTGTATATCAAACCTTTGCACATCTTTTTAATAAGACATGTGCATTGGAAAGTAATGCACACTGTCATACTTGCAATGAACAAACTGGCGATGTGTTGGGGCCAAAACATTGCCAATTAATGTATTTATTCAAGTTAGACTGTGCAGGAATTTGCATGCACATTTTTAAGTACTTTAAATTGTGACTTTGAACGTAAATCTATTTTTGTGTCATTAAAGAATGAGGCTAATGTTGCCATTATCCTGTGTGATAAAGATAATAATAACTTTATTTATATAGCACCTTTTAAAAACACAGGTTTACAAAGTGCTTTGACAAACAGCAAAAACAAGAACAAACTAAACCAAACACAGAAGAACAGAAACAACAGCAAGAATATAACAAATGCAAAATACTCCAAATAATTAAAGAGAATTCAACAGAAAAGAACCCATATGATATGATTGGTGAGGTAAGAAAGGGTCAATCATTATGTATTTGAGTGTGTTAGTGCACACATCACACTTCAGCCCGATCCTGCTTTAGTCTGCACCCCAGTTGGGCCACCCCATGAGGAAAACACACCCCTGCCCCATTGGCATCCCTATTTTGGGGGTCTGGAGCTGAGAAGTTTGGGAACCCCTGTGCTACCAAATGGAACAGGCAAGAAAACCTCATAATCAGTCGTTTCTTGGAATTAAGAACTTAATCATCTTTATTAAGTGGAAATTAATTTGACAATAGCAACTGTTTTTAGTTTTAATTTTATTTGACATACTTCATTTACTAAATTCTGATTTGAAACACAGAGAGCACAGCAGAGATGTTGGGGGTTCTGTGCCTTGCTCAAGGGTATCTCTGCAGTACTCGAGAAGTGCCCTGGCACCTCCCCAGCTACCAGACCACGTTCCATATATTGGTCAGCAACGGGACTTGAACCGCGACCCTCCAGTTCCCAACTCAAGTCCCTACAGACTGAGCTACTGCCGCCCCGAATCCATTCTTGAGCTATAAAATGTGGTGTTTGTTAGAAAGGCTAGCACTTAATGAATTATACTGTTTCTGTTAATTTTTTTTAAGCTGAGAAGGAAGGAATTTCATATCAGTGTGATGTAGACTGGTCCAGAAACAGTCTGTGGTTTACACTTAAGAAGCAGAATATACTTTGAACTAGGATTCATCTCTACAGAAATTGTAGTTAGTTTCATCAGATTTGAACATCAATACTAATAATCTTTAATGTTCTTAGTAACTTTTACATGTGAATTAGGATCTGAATGCAGAATATTGGGGCTGATAATAATTAGGGTTGGTTTTAGCTGGAATGAGACATTCCTGTATTCACTGTTTGTTTGTGCACTCTGGACAGCCAAGGACAAGTCAACGAACCTATAAATATTTGATGCACAAATGGAACAGTGTCCTTAGAAATCCTACAAACACAAGGTAACCTGGAATCTCCTTTTAACCAACAGGGAGTCAACATTGGAGTGGAAAATGTATCACTCAACTCTGGCCAAATAAATTTAAACCACAGACTAAAAACGACAGGACAGAGGGTAGCTAATTAGTCCGGTAGCTAGGCTAAACAGCAGCCACATGATAGTTTGCTAGACGTTTTAGCAAGCTATCACATGTAGCCAGTTTGGACTGTAGGCCATGACCATTTGATTTATTACGAGTTAAATAGGTCTTTATCCTTACAAAAATAAATCATGCACTTGTTTTCATTTTCATATCAAGCGTTACAACTGTAAATGTGATTATTTGTAATGTAGATAATACGAACTAATAGTTTGTTTTAAGTAGAGCTGGCTGCAGACAAGATGGAGGACTTAAGTGGCAATTGTTATTCCATAGGCAAGTCTTTTATATAGCTCACTTAAACTAAAAGCAGCGTTCAACGCTGTGGACCTCAGCAGCTTGTTAGCTGAGGTGCATCAATTCAACTAAGAAACATTTGAAAGATGACATGTTTTAACATTATTATGCCTCCAAGCTTACTAGTTTGCTAAACTGATGGAAAACCAGTAAAAGGGTGATATCCTCAGACATTACTGGAAATATAGCAATAAACCTCTTATAAGAAACCTTATAATTTACATTAGCGTATGTAATTTATCAAGCTTCAAGAAAAAAAAAGGTTTGAACTAATTTTATGCTAGCATTTAATGTTAGTCAGCTAATTAGCTGACAATGATGTTCTTGTTGTAGCTTATACTTGATGACATTGTGTCTGTTACCTTTTTAACCCAAGTGAAGAGTTTAAGGTGAATGTTTCTATATTTATTCTCAGTTAATGTAAACAATAAATCTGTAAATGGGTGATGCAGAAAATGAGCAGTGCCCTTAAAAACCCTACAGACACAGGATACCGTGGAATCTCCTCTTAGACTGCAGTTAGAAAAGGGTGGAGTCAAATGTTGCGTGCCCATATCCGGGCTAAAAACATTTTACCAAAAATTCCTTTAATATGAAAAGTCCAAAAAGCCAGAACACTTGGAACTCTGCCATCAGCAGCTTCTGTAAAGGCTGAGTGGCTCTGGGAGGATCAGTTCTTCAGCTTTGTTGGAGAAAACCTTTACTGCTTGTTGTTCTCATCTAGTTATACTCCGTAGCTAACCACTTGTAGCATCATGAATCTGTGTTTCAGCAGTCTTTTCCTGGTAGCTGGTTTGTTCCTGAGCAGCTCCGCTCTGTCAGTTGAAGAATGCAGACCTCTGGTAATGCCACTTCCTACTTTTGAACCGGTAAGTCTCCTCTGCTCCTCACTTTAGTCCTCAGGTGACTGTTTGTATTAACGATTTAAACAGTACACGACTTATTTTGAGACCTCTATCCCGCAGTTTAATCCTCTCTTTATAATGAGCAATTACTTAGAGCTACAGCTTAGTAGTAAAAGATAAATTGGCAACACATTTAATTGGCCAAGAAGGTTACAATGTCACTCATTTTAGAGGTTGGATCCTTTGCCCGACTCACCTGAAGCCAGGTGGTCGTGAGGTCTTATATGAAAGTGTTTTTGGTTTTTTTCCCAAGAGAATCTGTTAGAGTCTTTTTAATAGTTTCGGGCCTCGAGCTGAGGGGACCGAACCCAGAAACAGAAGAGCTTGGAGCGGGAGTATTACACACAAAGTTCAACACAGGGAAAGTGTAGCGTTTAGCAGCTGACAGGGGATGAGGTCGTTGAAGCAGCAGCTTCAGCAACGGGAAAGCAGTTCATATTAGAAAAGTATACAGGGAGGAGGTGGAAGACAGGTTTGAACCAGGCAGAGGGTAGGAAAGCCAGCACATGGGCAGACATGCTTGGGAGCAAGCATTACAACAGACACAGAGTGTACAGATACACTCACACTCATAGATAGCCATTTTGAAACCTAAAACAGCTCGGGAGATGAGCAGAAGGTTTGGGGGGAAAAAATCTGTTTTTAAAGTGTTTAAGTCTGTGTTTTTAGGGATCTGAGATGAGTGATTCTCAATGCTACATCAGATATTTGTGTCTATCTCATTGACTTTAAGTTTGTCTGCAGAGTTACGGTAGATGGATCTTCATCATGGGCTGGATTACTAGTGAACCACATAGGGTGTTGTTCAAGACAACCAAGAGCCAGTGGATTGACTTCATTCAGACATCACCAGACCACAAGGAATTTGTTCAGGATATTGGGATCAGGCAGTGAGTATATAACAGTGCAACAATTATATAACATAATTATTTAGATATGCAAACACGAGAGGAGCTAGGGGTGGCAGAGTCATCGCCCTTCAACCGC